AATCACACAACACGCTGCAGGGATCAGATTGGTTTACCCTAATCAACTCATTTTTTTTAAATTCCGTATATAATTTGGGCTATCTAGTAACCCAAACTGAGCTCTGAAGATTTCAAATTATCTAGGTCCATTTTAAACATTGAAAGCACACAAAGAGATTTCAATATTATGGCTTTTTAAATAATAACATATTAGATCATGGTAAAGTTTGGTAAGTTCATTTCTTACATGTCCACAAACTAACTAAGATATACATAGCAAAATGTTTGTTCTTTGTGTTCAGAAAAGGTGATGTACACCATTGTGCTAGTATTCATAGTTATGTTGCTATAACATAGTGTAAAAATGAGTTATTTTCTAATATGCAGAAAATGGTGCTCTGTAGTTTAACAAGCTTAATATCTTTTTTTAAACTTGCCAATACTTTTATGGCTAGGATAGAAAACTTTAAGATTTTGGAGGCAAAGAAGCCCATGCAAATAAGTCCTTTCTTATATATTGGCTGATGTACCACAGCAGTATTGTGCTTTTTCTCCCAAATGCTTGCTTAACTACTAGTTGTAAGATTATTTCTGTTCTAACTTTGGAAGCCCAAGCTACATGTTACCAACGCTGTGGACAAAAAACATTCTACTTGACACTTTTAATCCTGCTTTTTCTTAGCTTAGAGAGGTGCTTTCTTGCTACTTGTGTTTGTCACTAGCTTGAAAGAGACTCAGCTCCTATTTTTTCTAAATTTTGTGCACTTCAACCTATTTCTGTCTACTGTGAATCTCTATCTTGCCAAGTAATAAAGGCTTAAATTCTGTAGTTATGAATTAATGAAATCCTAAAATCCCTGTGTTTTGTACTTTCTCTGACTTTATATTATACCAACACCAGCACAACCATAATTATGCGTCCAGTAATGTGCTTGTTAACATGCTCTCGCTCCTTCCTGATACAATTCTAGAATGATTTTCTCTGTTTTACTTTGATACCTATGTTTATCTATTCCCTAACTGGAAGAGGAATATGTTATCTATTAAGTAGTTTGCCGGAGGCATAAATTTGATCTCTCGCTATCTACAGGTCATTCTCCTGTTTTTGTTTCTTAGGATCATTGAATATATTTTCATTTTTCTCTCAGATCTTTTCATTGCTCTACAATGAATTTCATAAACCACTCACCTCCCCATGTGCTTGGATTTTGTTTTCTTTTCTCCAACCCATATGTATGTTGCCATTTTACCGCAGTTTCACCTATCTTTTTTTTTAAACTAGTATTTAATCCACAAAAGCAGGGTTCTTTTGTATTGTAGTTTATAGCATATCTAGGAATCCCGACATTCAAGTAAAATATGTCAACCTCTTTAACGGTTCCTTTTGTTCCTCAAACCATTAAAAATATTTCAAATATGGCTTGTCTCTATAATTCCATTATTTGTATCATTAATTACATCCTTATGCCTCTGATTAATGTTTGCTGGATCTTTCCCCTGCTGAAGTCTAGTTTACAAACTGATAGTTCCTTTCATCTCCTTTAGATCCCTTCATAAATTCAGGAGACCTAACTCTCACTAATTATATTAAAATAAATACATATTTTTAAAAAGTGGTGAAACTAATTATTTGTTGTAACATAATTGAAATTCCTATGGAAGTAAAAATTTTAGGCAGCAAGCCCTACTGAGGAATCTTGTCTGTTTCTTCAGCCAGATAATTCAGTTGTCTTGGGCTAGATTTTTGGAGTTCAAGTCATTTTAAAATGTTTTTAAAATGCAGTTAGTTTTCAAATTAACAGTTACCTGTAAAGGGCAAACAGAGATTTGTACCCCCTTTTTTTTATATATACAAATATTAGAAATTCAAGTCTTGTCTGCCTGAGAAGATTCTCTGGGATAATTGGAGAACTAGTAGAATTATAGCATCACAGTGCCAAGAAAGTAAAATCTGATAAATTTGAGAAAAGTTAATTTTATTATCGGGTTTTTGTTTAACACCCCGAGAAAGCCCTTACTTCAACGTGTCTCTGCAACTATTCATATTTAGCATAATTGTTCTTCTCCATGAACTTGCCTGTGATCTAGAATCAAAGCTTTCATGATAAAGAGATTGCACTATGGTACTTGAATGAGGTGAATTGAAAAATACTATTTCTTTTGTTGTTTTTACAGTGCAAATATTTGTAATAAAAATAATATAAAGTGAGTACTCTACTCTTTGTATTCTGTGTTGTAATTGAAATCAATATATTTGAAAATGTAGAAAAATATCCAAAATATTTAATAAATTTCAATTGGTATTCTATTGTTTAACAGTGCGATTAAAACTGAGATTAAACGCGATCAAGTTTTTTGAGTTAATCACATGAGTTAACTGCAATTAATCTACAGCCCTAGTTTAAAAATATTCCTCTTGTTGGAGGAACATTGCCTTGTTCTTGTTCTTTAGAGAGTGGGTAAATAAGCACAGCTGACTTATACCATTCACTACTTTAAATACATCGGTCATGTCCTCATTTATTAATCATAGAATCTTAGGGTTGGAAGGGACCTCAGGAGGTCATCTAGTCCAACCCCCTGCTCAAAGCAGGACCAAGCCCCAATTTTTGCCCCAAATCCCTAAATGGCCCCCTTGAGGATTGAACTCACAACCCTGGGTTTAGCAGGCCAACGCTCAAACCACTGAGCTATCCCAGTTATAGTCTTCTCACTTTCTCCTGGGGTGGTAGTCCTTCCAATGCCTCTGATAATTTCTGTCTATCCTTGTCCATTATCTGAACCCTATCTATTTCTGCTGGGACTCTTTTAGATGGGTAACCAGAATTGAGCACAATATTTAAGGTGAGGGTGTACCAACAACTTTCATAAGAGTATTGTATTTTCTCTGTAAATCTATGCAATTATATCTGCTTTTATCTTCAGACAGCTTGAAACAATAGCTCTGATAGCAGGGAGCTGTCCCGTTCACTTCAGTGAGGAAGCTATCTTAAATGTTATCTATTTCACTGCTGATCATTTTAATAGAAATATCCATTTAATGTACTCTCTTCCTGATTGGTGGTTAGTATCAGATGCTGAGACAGGGTAGAGTAGTACTAAAGTTAGAGTAGCTGGTTTTAAAGGTCTTCATGGATTGGAAATGAGGAATTTAAATCCTGTTCCCCACGTTTAAAGTTACCTATGCCTGAAAGAGTGGGAAAGAAGATCTGTATTCCCTCCCTAGTACTGAAAGTTTCAGCTGCCCTTTTCAGTACCAAAATGCTTCTTCCGCCTCCCTGGGTATGAAAAGCCTCCAATACTCCTTTCCAGGTGTCAGCAACCTTCCAGTCTTCCCCCAAGTACTTTTTAATGCAGTTATGCATTTTCCATACAAAAATCTGCAGCACAGTGGAAGTTGGGGTTGTGTGAAGCTGAATTGGATACCAAAATAAAGAACACTATACTGGAGTGGACAAGGTAGTAAAGAGGGAGAAGGTTTGGTATGAGACACTGCTACATAATTCTGGGGTTCCTGTCACAGAATTTTCAGGGCCAGTGTGCCACAGAAAACATGGGGCTTTATACCTACGTAACTAAAATAGATGGAGAGATTCAAACCTCGTTCTTACAGTTAGGGACTGAGTACGCTTGTAATAAGTCATCATTCAGGAAGCCTTGCAGTAAGAAACGGGAAGAGAGATTTGATATTTATAAGGAAAAAACTAGGGCTGTCGATTAATCTCAGTTAATTCATGCAATTAACTAAAAAAATTAATCTCAATTAAAAAAATTAAGCTCACTGTTAAACAATAGAATACCAATAGAAATTTATTAAATATTTTTGAATGTTTTTCTACATTTTCAAATATATCTATTTCAATCCTCTGGAATGGAAGCATCAAGGGGCATGAATCTTTAGCGCATCTGGCATGTAAATATCTTGCGATGCCGGCTACAACAGTGCCATGCAAATGCCTGTTCTCACTTTCAGGTGACATTGTAAAAAGAAGCAGGCAGCATTATCTTCTGCAAATGTAAACAAACTTGTTTGATTGTCTGAACAAGAAGTAGAAATGATTGGACTTGTAGGTGCTAAAGTTTTACGTTGTTTTATTTTTGAATGCAGTTTTTTTGGTACATAATTCTACATTTGTAAGTTCAGCTTTCATGATAAAGAGAGTGCACTACAATACTTGTATTAGATGAATTGAAAAATACTATTTCTTTTGTTTTTTACAGTGCAAATATTTGTAATAAAAATAAAGTGAGCACTGTACACTTTATATTCTGTGCTGTAATTGAAATAAATATCTTTGAAAATGTAGAAAACATCCAAAATATTTAATAGAATTGTATTCTGTTATTGTTTAACAGTGCATTTAATTGCACATTTAATCGCCATTAACTTTTTTTAATCACTTGACATCCCTAGGAAAAAAATTTCATGGATTATTTATATACACCATAAAGAAGCAAAAAAGAGGAATGAGTTAATTTTTTTCCCCCTTTGCAGATCAACTTCTAAGCAGATGATATTCCCTGTATAATTTAAGCAGGATCAAAGAGTTATGTTCTTGCAATGTTGGGCCCATTCAGAAGTCCTTTCTTGGATAGTTGGTTTTGTTTTGTTTTTTTTAAAGATTAGTACTGTGTGAGGACTTTAAGGCTGGGCCCAATATTTGAGGGATTTATTTAATTTCCAAATCATTCATACGTAGTCGTTTTTTACTTTTTAGAGAAATCCTTTGCTGATATGTAACCTTTTCTTTTTATGTGTTACTACCAAATGCAGAACTAACTGAAGTTCTATAAGTGGACTAACGTAAGTTTTAGTCATTAATTGATACTTCTTACGCAATAAATCCATTCAGTTTTATTCCGCATTAGATCATTCTATACCTGGGCTATTTCTCTACCTCTTTAATTTTCCCTTCCTGTACCACCTGCTCCCCTTTCATCCCTCTTCCCTCCCCTCAACCTTTCTGAATATTTTGATTTCACTAAAGTCTAGTTCATTCTTTCTTCCTTGTTTTTCAGACCAGCAAAAATGGGAAGTACTGGATTCTGGTTTCCTCCAAGAAGAGTCAGCGGAACTGGTTAAGACCAAAATCTGAGGACTTTACTGGGCTACCATCAGGTGTGCATTAAAACAGAGGCTACCATAATTCATTTTTAAGTATGCACTTCTTTTAAAATGGTATAAAATGTATGATGTATGTAGTGCAGTAGATTTTTATAGTGTATATCATCATTCATCCTACAGTTGTGAAAGCACCAATGAGAGTGAGAATTTTAAGTGATATGTTGAGTCACAAACAGGCGTTTTTACTCATATAAAATTCGTTCAGCTGGTCTTCAGAAAATGTAATATTTGAGCATCAGTGTTTTTAAGCTTTGTCTTCATTGCTCAGTCTATACATCCACAAGTGAAAAGTGGAATTTTTTTTTATATTGAAAAATAATTCTGAAGTTCTTCATTAACTATTGAAAATACCCTAGGAATAGCAATCAGAACAACATTTTTAAACGAATCACTATCATAATTATAGGGTCAAATCCACTCTTAATTTGTTTTAACAATGCACATTTGAGTACTTTTTGGGCACAAGGAATTCAAAATCATCTTAATTCATTTGGATCATAGGGAAATTAAACATTATTAACTCTGCTTAATATGCTTGATCCTTTTCAGCATTCTGTGTTTTATTTTTGATACAGAGATTAGAGAACTGGAGGCTTTGAAGGGGGGGAGAAATATAGTACATGTAGAAGATCAGTGACTTGAATTGCAGTGAAGTTAGTTTAATTTTATTTCTCAAATTCTGATTAAAAGAGACTTTGGTAAATCTTTTTGTCCACAAATTTAACTTAACTTTAAAGTTGCTGGGCCAGATCCTCCTCTCATATCAGTATAAATCAGAAATAACTCAGTTAAGTCATGGAAAAATTGGTCTGGGCTTTTACCCTTATGTAAGTAAAGAAGAATTTGGCCTCAGGTTTCCAATTGACTGATTCATTTTATCACTTGATAGGGGAGGAGGGTTGAAACTAAGCTGCTTCTTTGATGACCTATGTACATTCGCACTTAGGAATTGGTTCCCAATGCTCCCATCTCATGAGTGTGAATGTATGGAGGCAACTCTTGAAGAATCACCATTCCTGAAGAAACCTCTCTTCCATCACTGGTTAACTTAAAAAAAATGCTGTAGTTAACCACTGATACAGCTTTATAATAAACTTTCACTCGGATGGTTTAAGGTTGCAGTGTTGCTAATCCTTCAAATTAAAAAAGCATAACAGCAAAAATATCATGAGATTTAAAAAATAGAATAATATCATCTTGGTCTGTCAATTCATGTTTTTACCCTTTAAGAGAAGAGGCATATGCAGACACACTCAGTGCATTTTTGGTTTAAAATTCAATCTGAAGTGTACATAAAATGAACACACATTTTAAGGATGACCCTTTCTCTCTTTTCCTCCTGACCAACAGGAGAGAGACTTTCCTTCACACTCTCTCCAGCTCTAAGTGGTATGTCTTGGACACTTTTGCAAGGTCCTTCTGCTTTTCTCTTCAAGCTGAAGCCCCATTTCACTTGGGGATTGTTCTCAAGTCCCTTTTCCGAGCAATGTTTGCTACCTCACTGTGCCCTAAACAGAAGCCCAGCGGCAATGGGGAGGAGAGGACAGCTGATCCAGGGGACAGGCTGCCTTGGAAGTTAGCTATCCTTCCTTCACTGCCAGCTAGGGACAGTTCATTTTGTTCACTAGGGGAGGTGGCATTAGCTGGGAGCAGCTGTTGCCTGGTGCTCGTTGCCTGACTCCTGGCTGCTCTTCCCCACCTGTCCCAACAGCTGCTTCTTTTAAGCTACAAGCATGCAGAAGCACACAGCAGGGAGCTGAGATATTGAAGGAGGCAGCAAGCTTGGGAATAGTGCCCTCCAATGCCAACCGAGAGCTGCACTTCAAAGCCATCCGCTCCAGGCTACTGACATCGACCTCTGGTGTCTGTGGCAAAACTGCATCTAGAACAGTGGCGTAGCCAGACTTCCTGAGTTGATGGTACTTGTGCATTGGGTTTTCAAAGACTGGAAATTACTCATTGCGATAGAAATGCCAAATTCAACTCCTTCAAATCCTGCCTACCTTTAATATTGAACTCTGACAGTCATTTTGTTTCTCTCATACTGCCTTTCACCATGCTGTTGTAGATCTAGCTTCTGATCTATGTCACATTAGATCCTTTGGTATTTCAAATTGCAGTTGAGTTGTGATGTTTAAAATAGTGCTGTAGTATTTTTGGCAATAAAAGATTGTAAAGTACTGTGCGATCACCAAAGATCAGTTACTACCATGTACTACCAGATTAAGAATTCAGAACTACTCTTTCCAACCGACAATTTAAATGGGATAGGCCTCCTCCTGAGTGGGTTTCTCATGTATTTCACAGATCTTAATACCTCAAGATAGATTGTGATCCTTCTAGAATGAATGAATAAGTGTTTCCATCTTGATCTAATCTAACTTTCAACATTTTCTCTATTTTATGATGTAGGAATTGTTTGGGGAGGATGGCTGTTTCCAGTGTTGACCTGAAAAAAACCTAATTTATAGATATCTTTATCCATATCAATTTTGACTTAGTACAGTATACAGTTACAGGAAAATTTCACTAGGCATTAACTGGAACATTGTGTATACTTTATTTATATATACACAAGTACAGTTTAATCCCTTGCGAAATCTGCAGCTGCCAAAAGTCAGCTTTATCCGTATAGTTTTGAGTAAAGTTATTTTTGATGCCTTCTGTAATCTTTCTGAAATACTGCTATTCTCCATCAGTGCCCTAAGGAAAAGTTACAAGGTGTAGTGTCAGGGCACATGTGGATCTGTTCATCCTGAGCAATGCATTTTAAGAATTGTGACAAATAGCATAAAGAAGCCAACAGGTATTACATTAGACCAGCTGAACCTAATTTTATTAAGTTTTATTCAGAAGCATCACATAGCAAGTAAACTTCAAAATTAAGTTTAGTTACAAACTAGTTGTTTCTTATTTTTTTTTCCAGTCCCCTTTTGCTTTCTTTTACGACCACATGAAACTTGAGAAGCCATCTAAAGCTAAATCATTTAGTGGAGTTGGGCAATTCCCAAGTGTCCAACAAGAAGGCCTGGTTTAGGCTGCGATGGCCACTGTCATTCCTGGTGATTTGTCAGAAGTAAGAGATACCCAGAAAGTCCCTTCAGGGAAACGTAAGCGTGGTGAAACCAAACCAAGAAAAAACTTTCCTTGCCAACTGTGTGACAAGGCCTTTAACAGTGTTGAGAAATTAAAAGTTCATTCATACTCTCACACAGGAGAGAGGCCCTACAAGTGCACACAACAAGACTGCACCAAGGCCTTTGTTTCTAAGTACAAATTACTAAGGTATTAAACTCTATTTATCTTTCAGATTATATTATCTATTTTATGTTGGCCATTTTAAGCCTTGTAAAAGTATATGTTTGTGTACACATTCTTCAGCTGATTTGCAGAGAGGAAATGTTAATTAAAGTAGACATTGGTTTGTTTCTAGAATTCTAAGTTACAGTAAGTTTACCAGCTAATGTCTTTGAGTTTGTTTTTATAAATGAGACTAGAATTTTCATTTGTATAAAGAGTTGCCACAAGAAAAGTGTATGGACTGAGAAAATTTTGGCTATGGACATTTACACAAGTACTTTTATACTTGCCCATATCCCTGTTCCAGTAGCTAAAATCCACCAGAAACTAAAGTGTCAATTTAAATGTAATGTTCATGTTTTGCTATATTTAAATTTGTCAAACTATCTTTGTAGTGTCCTGCTGTCAGCTAAAAAAGATTCTGTTGTGAAGAAACGTTAGTGTAGTATTTAGCTGCCATTAAAAAAATGAACACTTGTACTTTTTGATCAAAATAATTACTTACAGAATATATCTGTGTTTAAAGGCATATGGCTACTCATTCTCCTGAGAAAACCCACAAGTGTAATTATTGTGAGAAAATGTTTCACCGAAAAGATCACCTAAAGAATCACCTACATACACACAATCCCAACAAAGAGGCCTTTAAGTGTGAAGAATGTGGAAAGAACTACAATACCAAGCTTGGGTTTAAGCGTCATCTGGCTTTGCATGCTGCAACAAGTGGTGACCTCACCTGTAAGGTATGTTTGCAGACATTTGAAAGCACGGGAGTGCTGCTGGAGCACCTAAAAACTCATGCAGGCAAGTCATCGGGTGGAGTAAAGGAGAAAAGGCACCAGTGTGAACACTGTGATCGTCGGTTCTACACCCGAAAGGATGTCCGTAGACACATGGTAGTGCACACTGGAAGAAAGGACTTCCTCTGTCAGTATTGTGCACAGAGATTCGGGCGGAAAGATCACCTAACACGCCATATGAAGAAAAGTCACAACCAAGAACTTTTGAAGGTCAAACAAGAGCCAATGGACCTTCTAGATCCCTTTACCTGCAATGTTTCTGTGCCTATAAAGGATGAGCTGCTTCCAGTGATGTCTTTACCTTCCAGTGAGCTGACATCAAAGCCATTTACAAACACTTTGCAATTGAATCTCTACAATACTCAAATTCAGTCCATGCAGAGTTCTGCATCTGCACACCAAATGGTCACCACATCATTACCCTTGGGAATGCCTTGTCCAATAGATATGGAGTCTGTTCACCCGTCTCACCAGCTATCTTTGAAATATCCACTCAGTTCTACCTCATATGCAATTTCTATGCCTGAAAAAGAACAGCCATTGAAAGGGGAAATTGAAAGTTACTTAATGGAGTTGCAAAGTGGTATACCGTCTTCATCCCAGGATTCTCAAGCATCTTCATCTAAATTAGGGTTGGATCCTCAAGTAGGGCCACTAGATGATGGAGCTGGGGAGGTTTCCCTTTCCAAAAGCTCTGTTTCCATTAGTGAACCTCTAAATCCCCAACCGTTGGACTTTTCTCAGTTGTTCGGCTTCATACCAGTAAATGGCCCTCCCTATAATCCTTCTGTTTCAGTGGGAAACCTTGGAATGAGTTATACACAGGAGGAGGCGCATTCTTCAATGGCTCAACTTCCACCACAAACACAGGATCCTCACGATCCTAGCAATAGTATAGGTCTTGGGTCCCTGCATTCACTGTCAGCAGCTTTCGCAAGCAGTCTAAGCACAACCACCACCCTACCACGTTTTCATCAAGCTTTCCAGTAGGATGTACAAAGCTGGCTTATTACTGTCTATTTGTAGAAATGCCTTAGGTAATCATTTTTAATTTAGTGCCTACTATGAGACATTACAAATTCTCTGCTTTTGTACAGTACCAATCTCATGAAGCCAGTAAGAAATTTAAATTAACTTTTACATGTTTTGAAAGTGTTTTATTCTCAACTGTGTTTACTTTGGTTTTTAAAAAGTCTCATTGATTTGTTTGAATTTTCACTGCCAATTGACACACTGACAAAAAAAAATCAATAGAAAGCAATTCCTGCTAAACTTTGACACACACCCCTTGTTTATAACTTTTCTGAAACTTTTCAGTCATTCTGTTTTGTCAAGTAAATGGTAGCTTGACCGTTTTACATTTTGTGCATTTTGTAATAGAATCCTAGTTTTTAATTTTACACACAGCTTCCTGAAGATCTTCAAATGAACTAAATGGTGGTATCTTATGTGGTCCATAATCTGAAATCAATTTTTTTTTTAAATTAGTATCGAATTCAAACGTCCTTGTTGGAAATATGTACATACTTTTCATTTTGACTTAGTCATTATGAAAGGTATTAAAAACTTGCTAGTTTCTGGCTTAACTTGTTGCTGCCTGTATCAAGATTGGATAAGAAGCAATTTAACTTAAATACTCATCGTAACGCGACAAAATTAAAAAAACATTTATTCTTGTTTAATTGGCTAATGTGTCAAGTTAAAATTGGAACCGTTTTGTGCTTTTGTGACTCTGGTGAAGGGAAAAGAGGCAAAATTAATGGCTGACCCTGAAATATAAAAGTGTTGTAATTTAGTAGTGCGGAATATTTTGTCACAATTTTTGATTTAATTCTTAACTTGCTGTCTTTCTTTTTAATAGCATAGAAGGAGCACTGCATAGGAGTCTTCAGATTGTATATTCACGTCTGTAGGCATCAGTCTTTCCTAGCTGCCACAGCCAAAGTGTGGGTCAAGTCCAGCCTGAAGTTTTATACCTAGTGTCCGTTCAATGTGAGCCTGCAGTCAGAGAGTGAATGTAAATTTGCAGATATCCATTTTAATTTTTTTTTTAAGCGGAGTGGGTCTTTTCAGTTGTGTGACGTGATGTGTTATGTCCTCCTAAGCAACAAGTTAAATGTTAATCACACTTACTACACCTGGGTACTTGGCTAGGGACCTTTTTCCCATTGCCAAGGTTTAAAGACAGGACTCTTAGGAGTGAAGTAAAAGCATATTGCTTACACCACTTTTACCTAACCTGATATACTCACGTCTCCTACCCCTAATAACCAAAAGAGAAATAACTGTGATGTGTAAAAGCAAGCTAGATTTGCTTTAACTCAATACTAATATTCATTTTCCTTGTCATTTTTTGGATAAGGAATTAAAAAATAAAAATGAAATACAGTCGTATCACTCAGTCAGTAGTGAGGACGCATACAAGGTTTTAAGTGGTTAAAATAAATGTACTTCACAGAAACAGAAGTTGCTCCCATTGAAGGAGCTTTTGCTCCCAATATTTTATCATTAGCTCCTCCTTTTTTTCCCTCTAGGAGCAATATGCAGGTGTAGTTTTACTATTTTATACTTATATGTATTTAAATTTTATTACTGAAAGATAATGTTTTTATAAATGTGTTTGTGTTCCAAAGGCATTAAAATAAGGATGTATTAATAAGGATAATACCTTTTCAAATTCTGGGTTTAGGAGCATATGATCTCAAAGTGGACTTTAGCTCTGCTTCATGACTGCTTCCTTTAGTTTCTATGAAACAGATTGCTTACCTACATCTTTAGTTGAATGATGTGTTCAGTATTGCTTCCCCCTCCCTCCACCCCAAGCATTTTAAGGAAAGAAAACATTGTGTGAAAAGAGCACAAAATAAACAGAACAGAAACACTTTAATACTAGTTTAAACCAGCAAGCATAAGACAAAAAGCAAGTGGAAAGAAGTTACTTTATTCTGGATCTAGTTTAACCAGTTTGAGCGGAAGATAAATGGATTCCATTTCCTTAATGGGCCATATTGTATGTGGAACTGAGCATCTTTAACTTCTGAAAAGTTTTGGGTGCACAGAATCATACCCTTCGTAAGCCACATTTGTCACCCAGAAAAGGCAAGTGGAGACAGGCCATTCCATTAGGTTGTGTTTGTCAATATATGCAGCTGTTGGAAAATGAATATGCATATCACCAATTTCAGAACTACAGTGAATTGTTAGTCTGGCAGCAGGGAAGGCCACTTGTTAGTGTTGCAAATTAGTTTAATCTTAACTGCCAACACAGAACATTCTGACAGCCTATCCCATTGCTTAAGGGGATGGAAGTGGTGTGTATTTAGCATTTAGAAAAAGTGCCATTTGTTTATCAGTTTTAGTTCTGATTAGACTTGATTAAAATTTTTTTTGCCAGCATCCATTTTCTTAGTATATAACCAGAATCTTTACTACTAATGGTAGTGCCTTAGCTTTGTAAAAAGGGATTGACTTTTCACTTCAGAAATAGGGACCTCAGACAAGATATTGAACCTCATTCAGTCAGGGCTTCAGTTGGTGGCTACATGATGTATGTTTGCTACTGAACTAGGATGTATGAATATGTGGAAGCAGATTGACACTGTTAGCAATATTAACACATTAGTGCTTTAGAGTATATTTAGGCAGAATTATTATTGGCCACTATTAAAATGTCAGTTTTTAAACCCTACTTTCTTGTTACCGAGTTGATTTTTATTTTTTCAGGGGGGGGGGAGGGGGAGGGAGGCTGGCTGATCATGCACCACTCTTTGTGCAACTTTTAAACTTCTAGTACGTTTTTTAAATATATATATTTTTGTGTACTTGTTGCTTGTGCTTTATTTAGTAGTAAATTGTGGAATAGAGTGATTTATTGTTAATTTCACAGTAGCGGTTTTTAAAAACCATATACTGACTGAAACATGAGCCAGAGCTGATTGCTTATTAAGCTAATAATGAATGTTAAGAGTACATATTTTCAGGATCATTTGCCTAGTGAGCTATACATGTATTATAGGCCAATATTTTTTAAAATAAAGCTTGTTCAACCTCTATGTTACACATATTACAAGATATAGCACTTTCAAAAAGAAAACCTAAACCTTTTAAGAAAATTTCTTACAGGTTATGCTTTTTATTATAAAAACTTTTATTATAACTTGTTTCAAGTGCCATTAGATTACATATATGTAGGACTTTGGTATAATGCTTTGTGTACAAAATGGTAGACGTAATTTTAAACAGGTACATTTTTACAGTGTTTTCTTATCAATTTGCTATATTGCACAAAACCAGTGTGTCTTTCTTAAGGCTTTTACAATGGTTTTTTACTAGGTTTACATGTTTCAAACTACACTGTCTTCTACTGCCATTTTTAACACCAATACAAAAGTCATGCGTTCCTCACCAATTATAAACAGTGCACTCTGGAGTTTTGGATGGTAAATGGTCATAGAATTTTAAAATACCCTATGTTAGCTATGCTGCTGTCTGAAGTCAACATGGGGCCCGATCTTACCCCATTAAATTAAAGGGAAGCAGGACTGCACCCTTAGTTATGTCTGTTTGTCTCATACACTGGTTTAGCAGCTCATTCTACATACTTGTCAGTCTCTAGAAGGCCTATGAAATGTACTTTTGCTATAAACTATGTAGACACTCAGCTACCCATCCTGCAATCCTCCCAGTGTACAATGAAAACTACCACCTATTTAACATTACCTGGGGAGTCAAAATAAAGTAATGCCATTATAGTTCAAAAGTGTATCTGGAAAGTCCCAAAGCCCTTATACAATAAGGGTGTCTTATTTTGTTGGAAGGCAGTGTCTTTTGATAACAGTTATCTAGCCCTGGAAGTGACACAGAACTATTGCTAATCATATGTAAACACTTTTCAGTATAAGCTTCAGTGGTACAGTTGAACCAGAATGAATGTTTATCTTCTCAGAAACACTCCTGCAATATTGTTATATTGGATCATGCTGCTAATGTAACTTGGGATACAACTCCTCTCATGGTGCTACAAACCTTTCTGTCTCATTCAGATGTATTTTTACCCTTAGAAAAAAGGACTATACTAGACCTGTAGGTATACGATATATTTTTATACTGTGACTTAATTTGTCATTAATGAACTTTGTACACCACCACAATGTATTCATATGCACTTGCAAAAGGAAAATCTTGGACATGCAAATGTATACCCAAACAAGCCTGACTTTTGTTCACAAAACTAGAGGATGACAGTTAGTTAAAATGAAATGTGGGCTTTTTCTATGGTGTGGAGTGAAGAACATACTGTATGTTGCTAAGAGCCCTTTGAATTTAGACAAAAACTATATTGGGGAATGGATGACGCACCTGAACCTGACTTGGATTGCTGAAATTATATTTTTGGCTAGTGGGGAAAAAATGTTTGGACTTGTATGTTAAAATGTTTTAATGATAAAGATTGAGTCAAAAATAGAAAGGAAAAAAAACAAACAAAAAAAAACCCACCCCTGCATTCCAGACTGAATTTGTATATGTTTCTTGCATTTAAAATTGCTATCCTGTGATATGGAAAATTGAGTTGCTTATCATGTATATGTACTTTAAAATGTATTCACAAACTACTGTTGTATTTGTATAAAATATAGACAAAAAGATTGCATATATATTTTTGTGTATAAGCTCTGTAAAATAGCAATCCCAGTATGAAGCTGCAGCAGAACTTCATTTTAAACATTCACATCCAAAGAAACAGACTATTTATTGTCCACATACCCAGATTATAAAATATACCTTGCTGCTATCAAACAATAGTGCTGCAGCTACAGTGTTATGTTTGCTGTACAAAAATATGTGAACTCCACAAAATATATCAATAAAGTTACAGAATGGTTTTAGTTAATGTATAACGTATGGCTGGCATTTTAATAGACAAACGTGGTTGCGTGTGTGGGGTTTTAGAAAATGATCATAAATTACAACTGACACATTAGACACATTTATTTTCATTCTGCAAAGATTTAACAACTTGCGTGATTTAAAACTGGGAGGATGGCAGTTATTCAGAGGCTCGTAAAACAAAACATAGGCATCTGCAGTCCATGATTTAACCACGTGACCAATTGGAAGATCCTACTTTCACTGTAGTGTACTAGTGGCATCTCTACATTGAAAATAAGGATTGAGGAAGCTGCCGCGTTATGTGTTTGGAGCCCACCATGAGAAACCGGCAGGTGAGTTTGAGACTTATTAGCGCACAGGAGATTGTGATGTTTTCCGTGATCACTTCAGACAGAAATATGGGCAATTCGTGTTGACTTTACACTTGCTATTTGTAATGACTGGAAATTATGCTTTAAACAAGACTGTTGGGACATTTCTATGAAAAACCATCCTGAGAAGCTCTGTGAGGCCAAAACACTACATATGCATGAGTCACTACAGTCAGTGCCTCAGCATGCAGATGGTAGTATTATGAATCTAGTCAAAATCCTGTTCTTGCCGTGCTGTGTATAGTTTGTCGCCCCTTGCTCCCATTCCAAGTAGATACTTCCACTAACTTATGACGACCTACTAGGAAGCTAAGAGACTAGCAGCCGCCTGACATTCATATTCCATCCATTCTCAACAGTGTATTTGGGTTTGTGTCTCTGGGAGTATAGAGCTTAACCCTCACCACTGACTACATTTCCTGCCTTTGCTTTCTCTTCCCCTATTAAGGGGGGAAAAGAAGAAAAGGCAGAAAGGAATTGAAAAGAGATTCTGCTCCTGCGAACTATGGACCTAGATGTTTCACCTACTGTGAGAGATTTTTACCTTATTGTCTCAAATTTCTCTCTCTCCCCTGCACTGGCTAGTGCCAATAAAAAAATCACTTCTCTACCATGTGCTCCTCATTTGCTTTATATTGCAGTAGTGCCAAAAGACACTCATGAGAATCTGAGCCTGGCTCTATATACATGGAGAGATATGTTCCCTACTCTGAAAAGCTTACCGTCTGAATTAAACAGGCAACATAGAAACAAAGTGTCACATTAGCTACATTTTTTTTAATATTTCCCCCTAAAGCACCCTTCCCCCATTTTAAAAGAAAAAAAAAAATCCTTTGTCCAGGTGCCTCACCCAGTATTCTCTACACTTGCTGGCCTAACGTCCTCCTTTCCAGCCTGACAGTGCTGGAGAAATAGGGCAAGTTCTATAAATGGTTGGACAGGTGGGGCACAGCCAGTTGACTCATATTGTAAAATGGATGATAGAAAAATATTTTCTAAAGGCCCTGTGGCATGGTCCCTTCTCCTCCTGTGGGTGGGAGCTCCAGCTGCCTTCTCCAAAGGTAGGGGACAGGTACAGAGGGTTCTACTTCCTCCTGGGACTACTGTTTAGAGTAACCAGATGCTGGAGCCCTTTTAAACCTCCTGTGAACCTGGCCCTATTGCTAAAGACCTCTCAGCTGGGGAGGGTATTGTTTGTCACCTGCCTTTCAGCATGTCCTCATTATTTTAGCGTGGGGAGTGCAGGAGTAAATACTAACTTGCTGTGTTGTACCCAATGGGCACTAGATTCAGCCACCATCTCAGTTCCTGCAGAGCATGAGCACTGCCAGCTTCTGTGATCTGGGATATATTTTATTTTTTGAGTCCTTCAGCTCTGTCTTCTTTCTTCCCCACATACAGAGAAGGGATTACTGAGTGACCCCTGTGGAAAGTTCAGAGATGTTATCACTTCAGCTGTATTAAACTAAAAGGTAGTTTGGACCTCCCTACTATTTAGCAGGCAATATCTATGGTAAATGAGAGAAGAGAGGAGAGGAGGGCTCAATATCTTCCTTAGCAATACATCTAGTGACTTCCTTATCTTTCTTGTGACTAGAGGGGAAAGCCCCCTTGGGTTCTCTTTTTTTTTTTTCCCCTCCCTCCGGTGGATTCCCAAGTATGAAGAAAATAGCTTTGTCGGGAGAGAGAATTTAGAACAGGTTTCCAAAACTATGGTCTGTGATCCACTGATGGTCTGAGAGAGAGCTGATTGATCACATGGTGGTGGCTTCTCCATTTTCAGTTGCTGCATTATATTTTCAGGTGTAAGTGTGCTTTTAATTTTCCATGTTGCCAATTGTAATTGCCAGAGGAATGTTATGTTGTCATAAATGGGCAGGAGGCCCACAAGATACTCTGTAATAAAGTACACTCCATGCGATGTAAAAGTTTGAGAAGGCGTGCTAGATGATTTAACCCTTGACTATGGTGATTGAGCAGAACCTTTAGGCAAAGAACCAGTGATGCCTCATCCCCAGATTTATAACTGCATTGGGGATGGAGATGTTGAGGCTATAAGCATGCAAGAAAGTGGTAGAAGTTCTAGCCAATCCTCTCTGGCATTCTCTCTTCATACTTCTACTTTGATCGTTGTCACTCAGAAGTTAGCGCAAGCGTGGCAACTGTCTCCAAGTCCTAGAGCATAAATACCTAGGTTCCTCAGAGAAGGCAGTGCAATTTTCTTCATAGATCTGAAGTAGATGCGACAGTGTTATCTTCACTTCTCATATCTTCCTCACTGAAACCATGACTTGTGAAAGGCCTGGGTGCATTTTGTGTGGTATCAGCTTCCATCCTAGCTTTTGACTTCCTCTGACTGATGCATTTCTTGTGTAATTATCTTGTGATACATTTTAAACCTTTGGGGGGGGGGGCGCGGAGAGGGGAATTAATGTCTTTGGAGTAGCATATGCTACAGCGTAGTGGTGACCTGTATAGTTCATAGGCCTCTAGTAGGCAACTGAGATGCTGCTCGCATGTACCTTCCACCACCCCGCCCACTGCTTTCTTGAAATATCAAACAGCCATGGTTTTGTTTGCTTTTTAATAAGGTGCTAATAAAACTGTGGTCATGTAAAAGGCACATGGTGCATCTCTACATGACAGCGTCTTTGGCTCACGTCTGCTCTGTCTGGAAATGGAACACCAATAGGAGTGAGAACTTCCTGAAGAAGCAGAATGCTCCAGGAACAGCAAGGATCGCAGGCTTCCTCCTCCCCCACCCACCTGCCCCAAGCTAACCCCTGTAGGCACACAAAGCAACTGAGAAAACCCATTTTACTTAGGAGTGAATGTGCTGTGAGGAGTAACCTTTCTCTTCTCTCTCACCAGGAATACAGAGAGGTCATTCACTCCACATGCATGCCTCTTCCCTTCACTGCACCACACTGAACCTTGAGACAATTAGCAGTGGAGAGGTGAAAAGACTGGACACCGTGGGAGGATTAGTACTAGGGAAATGGACCTGGGGTGGTGGAGTGTCATAGAGATAGATAGGGTGGTTTGGGACTATGGAGAGTTAGTGGGTTTTGGGATGTGGGGAGTTAGAGAAGATGAGGGGAAAGGAAAGAAAGGAGGAAGAGATTGAGATGAGAAGCTAAGGGAAAGAAATTGAAAGTAAGTATAAGAAGGAAGAAAAAATATTCTTTGGATGGGGACAATGGAAAAGGTAGAAAAGCAGAGGGATGGACACCAGGATATATAACAGAAGAAAAGGAAAAGTGTGAAGGATGATAAAAGGAAAGAATGATAAAAGCAAGGGAAACCTAGTAAGTTTTAAGTATTTAATATTTTGATTCCAAAATAAAATAGTTCTGTCTAGTTAGGGTTACCAGATAGCAACTGTGAAAAAACGGGACAGGGAGTGGGGACTAATAGGCACTTATATAAGAAAAAGTCCCCCAAAATGGGACTGTCCCTTTAAAAATGGGACATCTGGTCACCCTGAGCTTCTTGGGCATGTTCTGTAATAAAACAGAATATTCAGGATGTACAATTATATATTCAAGAAGTAACAATGGCAAGGTTGCCCCCTTGTGCATGTGCATTACAATCCAGTCTCTTCATGATCTTTAGCCTGTATCAGGTAAAGCAATATCAGATGTTCCCTATAGCTTTAGAGAGATGTGTAGCATCTTCTAAATGTTTAATTTGTGCATAATTCTATTAATTCATTGACATAATGGTTCACTACGTCTTCAAGGATTTAAATTGGGGAGATGAATTCTGTGATTCATATTTTTAAAATGTAATCAACAGCCAGTCACTCTACAATTTCTTTTCAACCTGCAGCCGAGCCTTCTTTTGATGCAGCCCATGTTATAAGACAGTTAATTGTGAAAATACTTAATTAAAAATGTAAGTGGTTTCTGGTGGTTAACATAGATTGAAACATGTTGGGGAGACCACACGACATTGTTGCATTACCCCTGGGTGGGGTATATATGCCACTAACTTTCACTATTACTTTAAACCAGTGATACTCGGACCTCAGTGGTTCAGGAGCTAAATTAGGGGTTAATATTACCCAAAAGAACTATAGTAGTGTGAATTCATTTTCTATGTGTGTCTGTGTGTATATATAAATTCTCACACGAAATGACTGACCAAATATTTTATCAACTACAATTGGTTAATACCATAGTAAAAGTATCCTGATTGGTTAATAATGAAATCACACAGTGTTTTAATATTGTGCTGCAAGGAGTCACAGGAGACACATTAAAGAGCCAGTTGCAGCTCAAGAGCTTCAGGCTCAGTATCACTGCTCTAAACTGTTATACTTAATCTATACTATGTTGTGTAAAAATCATATTAGTGTGTCCTTTTCATATAAATCACTTCTGTGGACTCTGATATACACCGAGTAGTACAGGGTACTAGAAGATGTTATACACACCATTGTCATAGTATATATATAAATTTAGAACTGTTTGCACAAACTTTTAAAAAATTCACCATGCATACAGACCAACCCTGGAAAAGTAATTTATCACCAGCTATGTTGTTGAGGTTTTTTTGTTTTGTTTTTTTAATTAAAAATATAAATGGTGGTTGCTTTTTGTTTTTTACAAGTCCAAGCTGGGTGAGACAGCCAA